AAAAAAAAAAAAAAAAAAAGAACCGTTCCTTTACCAAAGTGAAAGCACTGTTCTAAAACATGGAATTTAGATTGTAGAAGATAGAAGTTAGTCAATTTGACTGAGAAACATGAAGGCTTCCTTTTAAGTAATGGTTTCTAAATGAGTTTCTAAAGTGAATCATTTGAATTGTTTTGCATGTTTTGGCTTTGCTGTCTAACTCTTATCTCTAAATAGATGCTGAGAGTGTCAATCTAGATGACTATAATATACACGTCATTGCAAGTGTATTCAAACAGTGGCTTCGAGATTTGCCCAATCCACTCATGACCTTTGAACTCTATGAGGAATTTCTTCGAGCTATGGGTAAGCACAGACTTCCTGGGTTACAGGGAAAGCCTACATTTGGGAAAGGAATACCATGTTCAGTGTAGATTATTAATCTATCCTCTAGGGGGTTATTCCTTATGATCCAAAGTTAAGCTTTTGACAGTCAGTACAAAACTGCCAGTGTACTGCCACCTATTCAAATGTTGGCTTTTTAGAGACTCATTAAAATGTCAGTGTCCTAAAAGTTTTCTGAGTAAGCCACTTTGTTGCTTCTTACAAAGAGATTGAAAGACTAGGGTTATAAAACAGATTAAAATATTATATCGGAGATTGATGGGTAGACTTACGTTTATTTAAATTGTGAATCTAGACAAGAACTCTGTGTAAAGCTGACTTTTTTATGTCAGGCCTAACAGGTTTTGGAGTTAAGTTTCTCAGTGCTACAGGTATATAGGATTTTGGAGAAGCCCTGCCTAATACTAGTATTAGGCTGTATACATTTATAAATTTATGAAGGATTTATAAATTATGTGACAATTGGGTGATTTTAATGGAAAACCAGTCTGCCAGATCATGACTGAAAAACTAGAGCATCTCTCTCCCCTTGCTGTAAGTAAGGATTACTGGGATGTAGATGACAACTCAAGTGATGCTTACAAATACAAAGATCTGCAAAGGTTAAGTAGTTACCATGAGTTGTTCTTCTGCCAAACAGGTGCGACTACCTTACCTAAAACACTAGAGCCAGCCTCCCTTACTATGTGGTATTTGTCCAGGAGGAAGATAAAGCATGTAAGAGAGGATATTCAGTCGTATTTGCTGATCTTACTGTTTTTAGGCCTTCAAGAGAGGAAGGAGACAATCCGTGGTGTATACTCTGTGATTGACCAGCTCTCCCGAACTCATCTCAATACACTGGAACGCCTCATCTTTCATCTAGTCAGGTAGCCTCAGGAAGCATGAGAATGCTTAGTATTTTTCTCTTGCGTAATTCTAAATAAAAGAACTTTTCCATTCAGAAAACTGACAACTCTTTATATTTTTTCTTGTGTTTATGAAGTCAGTGTCTCAAGCAAGTGGCTAGAATTCCTTGGAGCAGAAATCCCCAGCTGAGTTGCACTGCATGGCAGGTGCTTCTCTGCCCTTATTTGAGCCATGTATAAGCTTCAGCCTCATGGTGGCACTGCATAGCTAGGCCTGTTTTCTAATTCTTGAACTAGACAGGTTGTATATCTGTTGACGTAACCTAATTCATAGAGGGACTCGGCTCAAGCTCAGGAATTAATTGACCAAAGAGGCGTGAGAAGTAGTCTCTCTTCCCCTGTGTGTAAATATCAGAAATAGTTGAGAAGATGTCAACTTTCTTGGTTAGGTGTCTTACATAACTTCTAAAAATACCTTAAAGCCTCTACTCTGCATTTTTTAGACATGTTCATCTAGTGATGTTGGCCTTGAGCAGTGGGTCACAAATGTCCCTGAGTAAGCTATCTGCTGACCTTGACTGCTTCCAGAAAGTAACAGCGAAAGCACATTTTCCAAAGGCAAAGAAACAACTCTGGGAAAAGTCTGCAGTTCCTTAAACTGACATGGATATCCTTCCAGTACTATGCAGTTGATGTTACATTGCCTTCTTTCACTCATCTCTTCTGCCCATTTTTCTTTTTTTAAAAAACAAATCTGAGTTTTTTAAAATTTTTTTATTTTTGGTTTGTTTTGTTTTTGAGTTGGAGTCTCACGCTGTCACCCAGGCTAGAGTGCAGTGGCACACTCACGGCCACCCCAGCGTCAACCTGCTGGGCTCCGGCAAGCCATCCACCTCAGCCTTCCCAGTAGCCAGAACTACAGGCATGCACTACCATGCCCAGCTAATTTTTGATTTATTGTAGAGACGATGTCTGGTCAAGTTGCCCAGGCTGGTCTCAAACCCGCAGGTTCAGGCAATCCACTCACCTCAACCTTCCAAAGTGCTGGGATTACAGGCTGAGCCACTGAGGCTGGCCCTACCTTTCTACTATTCCCCCTTTTTGAATCCCCTTTTCATTTGTTTTTTGTTTTCTTTTGTTCCTTAGGATTGCTCTACAGGAAGATACTAATCGAATGTCAGCTAATGCTTTGGCCATTGTGTTTGCACCCTGCATTCTCCGCTGCCCTGACACCACTGACCCACTGCAAAGTGTACAGGACATCAGTAAGACTACCACGTAAGCTTTGCAAGACCTCAGGGACTTCTGATTGACTTGGTGTAGTCATTTTATCTAGATATTAAACACAGTGGATGGTTTCATAAGTTCAGGTGTTTTTAGGAAAATTGTTGGTCACTGTTGGGTTTTCTTATGCCGATGAATGGAAGTTAGATTTAATTCAGCTTTCATTTTAAAGGGTCTTATTTTTTAAATCTGACTTTTCTTTAGGACTGCTTATAGATTCTAAATAGATTTTAAAATTCCATTGTACCAAATTATGTATACTTTATATCTTCCTATAGTCTAGTCTAACTGTGGTCTTACAGCTCTGATTCCCCTTGGGTTTTGGTTGGGAGGGGGATTATTTGTTTGTTTGTGTCAGGGTCTCACTTTGTCACCCAGGCTGCAGTGCAGTGACATAATCACGATGATCACTGCTTACAGCAGTCTCGACCTCCTGAGTTCAGGCAATCCTTGCACCTGAATATCCTGAGTAGCTGGGACTACAGTCACATGCCACCATGCCCAGCTAATTTTTTTATTTTTTTGTAGAAATGAGATTTTGCTCTGTTGCCCAGGCTGGATTTGAACTCAAGACTCAAGCAATCCACACATCTCAGCCTTTCAAAGTGCTGGGATTATAGGCGTGAGCCACTGTGCCTGATCCCTTTGGTCTTAATACTTTAATATTTCTGTATTTCACCCTGGACTTAATTTTTTAGCTCTCTGCTTTCTTTATTCTCTTCTACATTCTTAATCTTGACTGCAAGAGGAACCTTAAAAAAAAATCAGTGTTTGGATCCCATCTTCAGAGTTTGATTTAATTGGTCTGGGATGTAGCCTCGGCATTGAGATTTGTAACCACTCTTCAGGTGGTTTCTGAAGTGCAGCCAAAGCTGTGAACCACCATTCAAAACCTTGACTGAGTTTATAAAGTAAAGGATGTTAATTTTTCCTTCATTCTTCAACTGTCTGTCACACATGGCTGAAAAACAGTCTGTGGATGCTATATTTTATTTGATTTACTTCAGCTCTTAACAGTTTTCTCTCTTTTCTCTTATTTCAGCTGTGTGGAGCTGATTGTTGTGGAACAAATGAATAAATATAAGGCTCGTCTCAAAGATATTAGTAGCCTGGAATTTGCTGAGAATAAGGCAAAGACCAGGCTGTCTCTAATTCGTAGATCAATGGTAAGATATAAGACGTGGAATCACAGGGAGAATTGGGGACCTTCTTGGGCTTTTAAATGTGCATTTGTGGTGTATAGTAGGATATAAGTAAAAAAAAAATCACCAAATCTCAGGGTGCTTTAGATGCCTCATGTTTAATCTACTAGCTCTCCTTAGTTGTATGTACAGAATACATGTGATTGAATGTGTAGAATTTTTCAAATCAAGTATTTGGGTAAAATGTTGGTGGCTTAACAATCTTCCCTGTTTTCTTTTCATGTCTTTTCTATGAAAACATATCTGTCCTAATATTTTTCTTTGCTTTCTTCCACCGTCTGTTCCCACTTTCAACCATGTACTTTTGGTGGTCCTGCCAACACTCCGGGGTGTAGAGAACTTAATCATTTGCAGTTGAATTTGAACTGAATCATTTGGTTCTTAAGGAAATGGGATTCCATCTGAGTCTACTATTATCAAATAAATTTCTTTAAGGTTTTAGTATTTGGAAAAATCTATTTAATATCTTTCTCTGCAACCAGTGACCTATGTATAGATAACTCCAGTTCTCAATGACCAATAATTAATAGGGTTAGAGTAACCGGAGAACTACAGCTGCATTAAAGCTTAATTATTGCTACCCTTCCTCTCAGTTTTAAAATAACATTATAGTAATCAGCACCCATTTCAGATCTCCAGTAAATTTCTAAAGAGAAGTAGGCTTCTCCATCGTCATGCCTATACTTTTCCAGGGGCCCAGCAATACTTCCTCCATATCTTCACAGTTTATGCTTAGATTAGCAGTAAAATAACTCTGTTTCTTTCTTTACTATTTAAACTACCTGGCACAGAATAAGTGCTCAATAAAGGTCTGTTGATCAAATTAGTGAAAGGTATTCTCTAAAAACAAACATAAGCAAAGCAGTAAATGTATTAAATAAATCCCATTATAAGGTACTGTCTAAATCTTTTCCCAGATATTGAAATTAGAAATCCCATTTAAAGTTAAACTTTTCTGTACTGTGAATTTTCAGGAAATTGGACCTGAGAGGTCCAATTTAGTAGCAGCCATCCAGATAGGAAGAGGAAAGACTTTTGCTATAGAGCTACTTTTCGAAGCAGATAGACAAGCTATGCTTTTTTGCCAATGCTGCAGAAGATGGATGTATTCAGTCCATTGAAAGATTAAACTTTCTCTTCTAATGGGGCAATGACGTGTGCATTCTAACCTTCTGCTTTCCTTTTCATGTCCCTCCTAATCCAGAAACCTGTACTAATTGCAGTTAGATTTATGAGCATTACCCGCAGTTCAGTCTCGGTATGTATTAATAATGTAATGTGTCACAGCCACTCTACATTATTGTCTCTCATTCATCCAGAAATTGTTCCACTCCGTCTGTCATTCATGCCTGTCCATCCTCCATATTCAGTCCCAATTCAAGTACCACTTCTTGACCAGCTTTCACTTACTTTTTTCTTAATCTCTTTCTTTAGATCCTTCATTTTTTTTCCTCTGTATTGTGCAGTTGAATAGCATCCATTTAAAATATAATGGCTTTTCCTCTTTGTCTGATAAGCCTTCTTTGGATTTCTTCTTTAGTTGAAATCATTAAAAGATGAAAGTTTAAAGCATTGAGGTATCAAATTAATTTCTGCTTTATGAGCTTTGTTCTCAGCAATCTCCTCTACTTTATTATTTAAACTATTTATTACCATTTTTATCATCTCCCATCATTAGTAATGCTTATCTGTCAGTTCATATTTGTGACTTTGATGGTGTCCTCCCAGATATAGAAATATGGTTCTTTTATCTACTAAGGATTTTTACAAACAGGAGTGAACATACTGATGGACTGGTTCTAGACTTAAATAGCATAGTATAAGAGAGCTCATACCAGGATCTCATTCCTGGTGCCCTTCTTCAATTTCCTTGATTATACAAAAAAGGACTGGAGGGATGGATGGAAGGCTAAGAATACTAATCTATGTGGAACTAATTTCAGACGCTCTCCATCCATGCATAACCATTTCATTAAGAAGCCTTAGCTTGTTGCAGTGTAAGTACAAATCAGTTTTGCTTTTTGTCTATAATTACCTCTCAACTCTACCATGTCAGACTTCCCTTTCCTACTGGATATCAACTATCTTAACAGCATCTTGCCACCATTCCATAGCTTTCAAACATTCTAATCTCATTCCAGTATTTAAGACTCAGTTCTCTTCATATTAAAATTTCAGTCATAGTTTTAATCCAGTGCTCTTTTCACTTCTTTCTCGAGCAGACTAGACCTTATTCTGGGGCTTAAAATACTGGGAGTAGGTGGGTAATTTCTGTTTGTCACGTACTTCTGCCCTCCCTCTTTCTTGACCTTTTCTCCCTGTGTTGTTGAGACTACAAGGAGTGGTAGGGGAGGCAGAATTCTGCATGATATCCTAGTGTTGAGGGCACGGTCCTCTTTCTTGCTTGTCCAACAATGCTGTTCAGTCAGTCATTCAGGATAAGTGAAGGTGAGTCGTAGCTCCAATTTACCCTGTTGATAATGAGCTAGGTCCTGTCTCATTTCTGTAGGCATTGGCAATCCCTTAAAGATTTGATTACATCTTCTGGCTAAACACTGGCTATTGGCATGTATACCATGTGGGAAGCTGTCAATCTCACAGGATAGTTACAAGTTTTCCAAAATTCTAATATTTGCTTGAAAGCTTGAAATCTTACCAAAACAAATGTGGTCATTCATTTCACTTGAAATAACAGATTTTCTTCATAGAGTATCAAAGAAAATGTATACCACATACCCAAGCGGAATAATCATACTTTGTCAACTATTATAAATTTTGTTTCATGAATAAAGCAGCCAGTTTAAGTTGCAATCAAACAATTGCACAAATTGTTTACATTGTGTCTTGAGATAGCCATGAGCATGTGTTCCTTGAGAAAACCACAAGTATGTAGCAGAGGTGCTTTATGTGTTCTTTCTGTTTCATCATACAGAAAATAAAAAATAGTGGATTTGATGACTAAGAATTAATAAAAATAATTGTACTACTGTTTTAAACTTGTAAATGCATGGTAGTAAAGTATGGGATGTCTACTGGTAGAGTTTGGTACCATTACTTTGATTCATGTAAAAGTGCTGGCAGTTGTACCCAATTAGTACAAATGTCAACATGTGAAAAAGGCAAGTAGCATCTTAGTATAATTTTGAAAATAGTTTTGACATTGCAGACTCTTTGAAATGGTCTTGGGGACGTCACCACATCCCCACCAGGCAACTATAGACTTCTGAGAACTACTGCACTACAATATGTCTCATATTACCACCTCACTGCACTGTACAGAAATGTTTGCTGGGAGTAATTCCTTTTCACATGCAAGGTATAAATACAAACATAAGTACTGGCTATGTTTAAAGTGCTTACTAATCTTCATTATCTGGTGAACCATAACTGCAGGCATTGAGATATGATTTTTGAATAAGCCTGGATACCTGATTATAATACCATGCAAAACAACCAGTCTTCTCAAAAAACCGATGAAGGATCTCTCCTCACCAGGAAGATAGGCTCCTTGGGAAGTGGTCTGATAATTTAATTCCTTCCTATTTTTGTGACTTAAAAGATACTCAACAGTGATCTTCTATCTTGGCCCAAAGTGCTATTTTTGGGTAAAATTTCTTCATGAGGATTCTGAGTTTGTGTTATAACTAGTCATATACAGCTCTGTCTAGATGGTGCACAGTTCCTCCTCTTTATGCATTCAATCCACAGGCAGACCTTATTTACATGTGCTTTCTTTGGGTCTTCATAAAGTGTCATGGCTCCCTGCATGAGGGTAATGTCTGTGTTTTTCTAACTAGTCATCAGGTTTCTTTAGGGTGGTGCAATCTATTCATTCATTACCACCATGAGTCTCTCTTTAACTTCACCACTGTTCAACTATGGAAGCTTACTTTGATTTATAGTATTGAATTTCTTTGTGCCCATCAGGCATGCCTTGATGTTCCTTCCTGCATCCTTTCTTCATCATGAGCCTTAGAGCATATTCAGAAGACATCAAAGGTCTCCTCATAGGTCTTATTCATTTTAATACTGTGGTGTAGCTCCTACTCATCTTCATTGTTATTTCCTTAAGCCTTAGGAAGAAATGGCAATGTTAGGCCCAGCTGAGGATTTCTTTGAATCAGATGTCACTTAGATCCCCTATGTTAAAGCATTTGACACCCAACATTTTTGTTACATTCTGGGAAACCTGTTATGGACTTGTCTGACAGAATTCTGACCCAAATCAAATAGTTAAGACTGCCTGTATCAGAATATCATCCTTAGGAAAAGTACACAATAGAATTATATAATAGGCTCCCTTAGATAAAGAATGGCACATCTACATGATTAGGTGATTGAATTTGTGGATGTTAGAAAGCATGTCCCAAAATGAGGAAGGGAGAGATGGGTCAGACATTACTATGTGCCATATATGGTGAGAGTTCTAAGGAAGAAATATTTAATTCTGCCGGGAAGTGCAGGGGAGGGCTGCAGAAGTGACATGTGAGCTAGATTTTAAAGGATGAATTTGAATTAGTCTGATGGGAAAAGACCTGGTAGTACAAAGTATACAAGATTTAATTCTGAAAAAAGCTATGTAGCTCACAGTCCCTAGAAACTTGGAAATTTAATTGTGCAGAAAGCAAACCTTAAGTTAAGGTTTTGTGTTGAAACCTTTGTGTTGAAAACATACTAAAACCATTGAAGAGAAAGCCAGGACTCACAGGGTCTCATATTATGGGTAGTTTAGTGCTTAATGTACGTTTTGGTGCTATATTATATCTTATTTTTAAATGCATAATAGGGAATAAGAGCTGATGTTAGTTACTATTTTTCAACTATAAGATAATTTTCTCAGCCGGGCTCGGTGGCTCAGCCTGTAATCCCGCGCCTTTGGGAGGCTGAGGTGAGTGGATTGCCTGAGCCCACGGGTTCGAGACCCGCCTGGGCAGCGAGACCTCATCTCTACA